CACACACACACACACACACACCTTCTCAGTGGGGGTGGGGAGATGACCCCAGAAATACAACATAACTAAAGGCCAGCAACTCTGTATTTTATTATGTTTTCCTTTAATTTCTTCTAAAGGTTGTCTTTCTTCATTCTATATTTCTATAATGCTTCCCTGAATTTGTATAAGTAAACTCTCCTGTACAAATACTGTTCAGACTAAGGTGAGCCATAAAAGAAGTATCAAGGATAAATTTCCCTTTGGTTTTTGAATCAACGCAGTTTACATTAAATTATCACCATGCCATGAAAGTCCATTAAACATCGAACAACAAAGGGAATTAATTGTAATTGGGTTCAGTAATATTTATTGGACTTACAACTTGACTGAGAAACTCCTTATTTACTAGCAGTAATAGTAACTGATAATGCTTTGTGTAAGATGTTTTATGGAACCTTTGTGACCTGCTGCTCTTTTGTACCTGATGTCTTGCACAAGGTTATAATCTGTGAAGTATATTTCTCTGAGAGTAATCTGTGTGGTTTAATTTTGTACATGTTTGTAGGTGGATTTTTTAAATTGTTCAAAACATCCAGTTGTACAAGAAACCAGTGGCACCAGTTGATTTTTAAAATTATGACTATTAATATTATAGCATGCTAGGGTGTCTGTGAAATTACATTGTTCTGAGAATAAAAATGAGCATACAGATGGATTCTACTGAGAGGGCAAAATTGATGAGAGAATTTAAATACTGTACTCTTTCCCGAACTACTACAATATTGTGAAGCTTGGCAGTCTGTACATCTGGGATCATCTGCACAGTCCCAGTCAGTTGAAACAGAAGTAGCACAAAGGTATAGCTTGCAATGAACTCATTTCTTTCAACTAGTTTGCGATGGCAAACATCCCTGTGGATTGTGCTTTATATCTTACGTGATATGAAGCAACCTGGCAGCTTTGCTGAAGATGGAGAAAGAGAAGGAATACTTGTGGTTCTTCTTTATGGAGTTGCTGATAAATACAATTTCTTTTTGTGTTTGGTTTCTAAAAACTATTTATTTTTGCACTGATACGATGGTCCTCTCTTCATGTTGCTATTTCATTAAATAGATGCAGAATCTGACATTTCCGATACACCATTGGTTATTCTCTGTCCCCTTTGACTTCTGAACTGTGTCGTGCTCACATTTTGTCTTTAGCCTTCTCCAGAAATATAATAGCTGCAATCCTGTGTACATTTTCTGGCGCGTAACCCATGTTTCGCTTGGTCTGAGAAGGAGTGTTTTTGCCACAAAATTTGGGAGGTTTTGCCCTGGTGCTCCAGTTGAGCCACAAACAGAAGTAACTCTTCTTGAACTCATGTCCAACTAAAGATACCTAAGATCAGGCTGTAGGTTACAGCATTATATCAGCACTATGGATTATTTGTACAGTCATAGATCCAGATAAAGAAGTACCATATCCTTTCCCCAAATAATAGAAGAGGTTGAAAAGAGAGGATTTATTACTTTGGTGCAGGAGAGAAAACCTTGCCATTGCTTGTTCTCTCTGTCACACTATTTACTTCCCTTTCTTTTTTAGCCCTTATCATGATATGCACTAGAAGGGGAAAGTATCTAGCCTGCAGAGTTTCATTTTGAATAAACAAGTGCAACCTCTCCCATAGTAGGGGCTTATTCTGTTCATAGCATTTTTAGCAAATGCAATTGGCTTTCCATTCTCTCTACTAAGGTTTCAGTTTTACTACATGCTCACAGTCATTGAATTAAGAGGGCCAAACTGGCATGAGTGAAATGAAATTGGAATTGGACAAATGTATTGGCTATTCAAATTTTAAAAGCCATAGTAATTCCTATACAGCAACGTGCTTAGTTCTCAGCAGGCTGGATAGCTCAGAGGTTGGGAGCTTAATGCCCCATTGTGTCTTGTAGAAGAAGACCCGATCTCTGTAACCTTGGGCAAGCTATACAGCCCCAGAACACACCCCAGAGAAGGGACTGGTAAACCACTTCTTGGTACTCCGTATCCAGAAAATCTTGGAAAATCATAGATTGTGTACAGGACCACCCACTTTTTTGTTGTTATTTCAGATGCCACTGACATCAGGTAATAGATGCCTGTAGCCCTTTTGAAATGACGCTGCATCAATTTATATGTAACAGGAGGGGGAAAAACTTAATTGCCTTATTGATACTGTTAAACTCTTTGGACAATGTCTTGGTTTCACAACGTGACTGGGAGAAAACTGCATAGCATTTACTATACTAAGATGATGAGAAAACTCTTGACTGGCTGTATGAATCCTCACAACATTAGCAAATCATCTCTTTTGTTGTTGTTGTTGTTGTTGTTAGGGCAAATGTTCTTATGTCACAGTTCATGATACATCATGCCTAGGCTGTATGAATCCTCACAACATTAGCAAACCATCTCTTTTTTTTTGTTGTTGTTGTTAGGGCAAATGTCACAGCTCATGATACATCATGCCTGACCAAGTTGGAAAAGAGCTATATAATATGAAAACAAAAATCTCATTAGTTCTTTCTCTCTCTTGAGGACTCTACCACTCTTTAGATTATCAGTTATGGGCTTCAGCTGAAAATTTAAACAAGGCTTTTCATAGGCCTAGAGTCCTTTCAATTCTGTTCTGAAAGCTCTCCTTTTCTACATTTAGCCTAGGAGGGGTACAGAGGCACAGTTTTTGCCTCATCCTCTCATTATTTTTGCCATGGCATTAGTTCTTTCTCTCTCTTGAGGACTCTAACACTCTTTTGATTATCAGTTATGGGCTTCATGCCCCTAGTGGCAATTCATGTTATCATCTCAGACATCATGTTTCTTTGGAATACAAATGTAATGCATCAGAAACACCCTGAAAAAATTCAGTAGCCTGGTCTGACACTTCAGATGCATTGGACCTAATGGTAGGCCAGCACTACAAGTATGTTTGTTCCAATTAACTGAGGATAGGGTTTGATCATCCTGAGATTGTCATAGAATGTCATATGTCTTCTCTAAATAAAGAAAATCTGATTACAGAATGCTAAGATACCAGACTGAAGGGGCAGAATGAATCTTTTCACCAGACAGATAATTCCCACTCATAGACAACGTTAATGAACTACAACAGCGGTCCCTAACCTTTTTAGCCCTGTGGACTGGCTGGGGAAGGCAGAGCACCCCTTGCTCTTGTGCGCATGCGTGAAGGTGCATGTGTGCACTTGTGCACACGCGCAAATGGCAATGTAGTGTTTCTGCAGGTGCACGGGTGCTTGTGCGCATGTGCAAAGGGAGGTGCAGCACTCATGCAGGTGCGTGCTTGTGCACATGTGCAAAGGATGGTGCAGCGCTTGTGCGGGGGCATGCACACTTGCATGCAGGTGCAAACAGGCTGGGGGGAAGTGTGTGCATGAGTGGGGGAGGTCTCCGCGGCCCAGTCCGACTCAGGCCATGGACCGTCTCTGGGCCGTGGACCGGGGGTTGGGGACCTCTGAACTACAGAATGAACTAAATTAGTGTTTATTTAAACTGGCATTTCAATAGTAGTAAACCTTGGTTACTGTTTCCTAATAATGTACAGCATTACCACATATAACTTTGCCTTGATCAGTGCTTTAATTTACTGTAGCACACCAGTAATTCCCAAGAGTGGACATTTTCTAGTGTTATTTATCTTCATGTCTGGAAAGAATCCTAAAGCTGATATGAGTGCTACTGAGTATTATTCTGCAAGAGAAAATGGGGGAGGGAGGGAGGGAGAGACACCTACATCATCATTTATTATGCAAAGACAAACTGACATCAACACTTACGACACAGATAAGCCTGATCCGTCATCTAAAATATAATTACACCGCTGTACATTGTCACTTTCATTTAAAAAATCACTCCAAAACAATCATTTCATTATTTGTTCTACTATCCAGGTATCTGTACTTTCAGTCTAATGTTAAAATGACCCAGTGTAGCGCTGTTTCAGTTAGTGCTCCTTTTTCCAGGAATGTATCTGGAATGGTAAATAGCGCATTACTGAATGCATTTTTTTTAAAAAGGAGGGTATGTGTGTGGAACAGAACAACATATACCCTGATCTGTGAAATTCCTTCTCTTGTCGGACAATCTGAAATGCTGATGTTTTGTATTTGTCTTCTTGTTAAATGAGATGTACATACAGTATTCTTGACGCAAGTGTAATATAAAGGCAAATTATATGCAGTTCTGCATTGGCAGATATCTAAGAATGTTTAAAAAGGAAACAGTACAAAACAGGTTAAAAATAAACGAGAGCCGCTACACAAGAATGAGACAAACCCCAGGTTGGGCGCTCTCCTTGGGAGATCATGGGAGGTTTCAAGAGTCTTACCCTGCCCCCAGTCTGGCAGTATTAATATCTTAATGCTCTAAAGCTGCAGTAGCCACAGAATCATCTATGGTGAACAGA